ATAGCATCTAGGGAAGTAGGCTATTGCCTATGAAAGTCCATGGCTTTATGAACCAGTTAGTCTCTAAGCTCTCCTTTCATTCATCGGCCAGCTTTTTATAGACACCTTTAGTTTCCATTGGAAAACGAAATGCTCAATATCCAAAATATGATGGGTGAACATTTCGGTGAGTATACTTCTGCTAACAGATTAACATGATCTGTGATGGGGAAACCCAGCTTTTGGCCAACTTGAATCCGTATCAGTGTTATGGCAAACACTAAGAAAGAGATGAGACAAAGGAAATATGTAGGTATTACAACAGAGTTGACATTCTCCTTATTAACGTTTCCTTATCTTTGCAACAATCCACTTACAAAACTTTAATAATGTAACAGTATCTTGAATATTCATACTATTGCCTGTGCAGTTAAAAAAAAAAAAAAAAAACCCCAGAGATTGAAAGTGTGTGTTGTGTAAGAAGACTTAGAAGCTTATGGAACCTATTTTTTTCTTATGTATTTGCATGTACAAAAGACAAATGATCTTTTTCAAAGGAAAGGATTGATTTAAATTGAAAATTTCCAAATGGGCAGTTTAGATACTGTGGACACTTTAGGAACTGTTAAATTTAAAAAGTCTGAAAGTTATTTTGTTCAGGTCTCCTCCACCTGCTTTAAATGAGTAACTCTTGGGCTGAGGTCAAATATGGAAAATTTCAGTCCAAAAGAAGAATGTCTGAAAATTTATTGGCAACTCAAAACATTCAGTGAAAGTCCTGATATAACCAGAACAGCAATAGGACTGACCAAGTATCTCTTATAAATGTATGCATCTGTAGGTGTTGAGAACGATCTCCTAAAAAGTCTGAGGCTATTGGCGTCTTGTGATAAGAGCAGAGGAACCACTTTGGAGAAACTATAGTCTCTCCATCTGGGAAGGGACCCATTAGTTTTATAGTTACACAGTCTTGTAACTTTTTATGTACTGAGAATTCATATTATCTCTTTACCTCAGAAGACTGTTGTATGAAAGTATTTTATTTAGCCTTGTAAATGTGTGCTTATTTATTGTTTTTCTTGAGAAAAAGGCAATCTTGGTTCTTTGTGTATAAATGAGAGCATTTTTAGAGCCTTCTTATTACCTCTTAGAACCTGATTTGACTAAACTTAGCTTGAAGTCTACACCATAATTTAACTTTTAAAAAAATCCTTATGCGTGTTTGTTAATATATTTTAAAATGCATGTTTGCAATGAACCATTTTTGAGAGAGAATCTAGTCCAGTGGTTTTCAACCTTTTTTTTGTTTGCAGACCCCTTTGAATTGTAAGTGTGGGTATTCACATACTTTTGATTGATATTAGTCATCTTTTGCACCTCTCTTAGTTATAGGACCCCCAGAGGTCCATGGACCAGGTTGAAAACCACTGATCTAGTCCATGTTTCTTGCCAGATTTGCAAGACTGCCTCTTAGAAAATGACCACAAGTGCCTAAGTAGAAATGGGACAGTCTTGAAAATGTGGGCCTGATTTTTAGATGCTTGAATTCTGGCCCTTAGTTTTTAATTTGATCACTTGAGTTGTATCACCGTGACAGACCACTAACATGTGATGTTGCTAATAGCTCTTTGCAGAAAGAAGAAAGATGGAAAGTAATGCTGTTTTACTTGAATCTAAGTCTTCACCAATCAACCTGCTAAATGAAATGCATCAGCTGCGTCTTCTGGGCCACCTGTGTGATGTGACGGTTAGTGTGGAGTATCAAGGTGTCCGGGGAGAGTTTGTTGCTCACAAAGCTGTGCTGGCAGCAACAAGTAAGTTTTTCAAGGAGGTGTTTCTTAATGAGAAGAGCATGGATGGCCCAAGGACAAATGTGTTCTTGAATGAGGTCCAGGTAGCTGATTTTGCTTCCTTTCTCGAATTTGTTTATACTGCCAAGGTAGAAGTGGAAGAAGACCGAGTGCAACGGATGTTGGAAATAGCTGAAAAGCTAAAGTGCTTGGACCTCTCTGAAACCTGTTTTCAGCTGAAGAAACAAATGCTTGAATCAGTGTTGTTGGAGTTGCAAAATTTCTCTGAAACTCAGAACTCTGAGGAGGAGGGCGGTTCCCAGCCAACCATCTCCTATGAGTCCAAAGCAAATATTGTAGCAGAAATTGACCGTGCAAACTTTCTTCCTGGTCCTCCAGAATCCCTAGCAGAAAGGCCCAGCAATGGAATGTCTCCTGAGCTGCCAGCTGTTAAATCAAAGGAGAAGGTAGACAAAAAAAAAGAAGCCATTAAGCCACCATATGCTAAAATCAGAAGGGCCAGTGGGAGGCTGGCTGGGAGAAAGGTATTTGTGGAAATCCCCAAGAAGAAATACACAAGGCGACTGCGAGAACAACAAACAAATGCGGAGGTCGCTGCAGAAGAGAACAAGTTCCCAAATGACCAAACTATGTTTGAAGTGGAGAAGGAAGAGGAGCAAGCGGAGAACACTGTGAAGCCTGAAAATGAAGAGTATGTTGGCAACTTTGAATCTGAAGAAAACCTTAACAAATCTGAAGAGGAGAAGAAGAAACGAGGTGACAACTTCAAGTGCAGCACGTGCAAGAAGGAGTTCTTATATGAGAAGAGCTTTCTCAAGCACATCAAGCACAGTCATGGCATTGCAGCTGAAATAATTTACCGGTGTGAAACCTGCAACCAGACCTTTGCCAACCGGTGCAATTTAAAAAGTCACCAACGCCACGTCCACAGCAGTGAGCGCCACTTCCCTTGTGAATTCTGCGGTAAGAAGTTCAAGAGGAAGAAGGACGTCAAGAGGCACATTCTTCAGGTTCATGAGGGTGGTGGGGAGCGTCATCAGTGCCAACAGTGTGGAAAGGGTTTGAGCTCCAAAACTGCCTTGAGGCTTCATGAAAGGACGCACACAGGCGACAAACCTTATGGGTGCACAGAGTGTGAGGCTAAATTTTCTCAGCCTTCTGCACTTAAAACACACATGAGGTATGAACAGACTTAATTGGCCTTGTTAGATTCGGGTGGAAAAAAGCAAAATCCCCTGGAAAACATCTTGAGCCCTCAAGTAAAGAGGGGATTAACAAGGAGACTGACTGGGAAGTTTCAGTGTTCCCCTTTTCTTTTCTTTTTTTTTCTTTTTTTTTTTTTTTTGTAGGTGGTTTTTCCTTTGTCTTTCCAGTGGAAGGGAATACTGTCATTTTTCTTCAACTCAAACTTGGGCTTCAGCTCCAATCCTGTCAGTGTGCAAGTGCCTGTGTAACTTTACTCATGTGAGGCATCCCATTGCAATCCATGGGACTTGTTCACAAGAGAAAAGCTACCCACGTTCTGAAACTACTTGTAGGAATTGGGCCTCATTTGTTCTGCACTAATTTGAGCATCCCTAATATTAAGAGGAAAATATTGTGCAGTAGGAACAGAAATCTTTTAAAAATGTAATGTCCCCAGTGATGTGTTGAACCCAGTACTAATGTGGTAAGCACCGAAATTCAGCAGGTGAAAATGACTAGTAACAGACCAGTCTGATGTTACTGTCCCAGCAAGGTGAGTGAAGCACAGAAAGTAAAGAGATGGCAGGAGTGGGGAGATCTGTGGTGCTAATATGGCTGCAGCACTTCTCATCTTCAGACCTCACTGCCAGCACTGTACCAGAGTTACTGCTCTTCACACATGGGATCTTTGAAGTTCACGTGAGTTTCAGGTTTGGGAGGGCATAACTTGGCTCAGTGAGGGCTTGATCTAGTAAGGTGCTGGGATTTACTTTTTGCCGGTCCTGCAGTGGATGTGCTTTGCTTTAAAGTGAATGAGAGATTCATGCTTTAACTTAAGCGCATGTGTAAGTGCTCTGTAGGCCAGGAGCCCAAGGCCTTGTAGGACTAACTCCTAACCAACCCTTCGAGCATCACTGTGAAGTAGGTGAACATGAGGAACCTGAAATAGGGAAATGTATATTCCAAAGTGTCACTTTCAGAGCTGGAAGTAAAATTCAGTACTGTCATCATGCTCCTAGACCATTACTTCCTCCACCCTTACAAACAGGGTGCTTTTTAGCCTTGTAGTCCCTTTGAAGTCACTGAGCTTGCTCGTGGTAGTAAGTACACATTTGCAGCAGTGAACCTTAAAATGGTATCACCAACCCAGGTGCAGAATTTTTTTCACTTAACAGTGTCTCTTTCTAAACCATAGTGACCAGTCTTTGGAAGTCATGCAGAGGAGGGATTGAAGATGAAATTCCTCCCCTCTCATGTACCAGTGTGAATATGCAATAAGCTAGGTAGCTGTATTTATTTAAGCATTGTGAAGGTGATCAGCATTGTCAGGTCATGCCTACCAAAATAGTCCCAAATAGTTTATATCTAATGTTTTCATATGTAATTTTACATATAACCTCCACCACAACATCATTGCAAAAACTGTTCTGCTGTCATCTCTGTTCCTACAAAGCTATTCAAAAGGAGTCACATAAGTTAAGAGCGAAGTTTGTGTAGGCTAGAAATTAAAAGTAGAGACAACCAAAGTGAAGTTAGACCCTGATCCTGCAAGCTGCTCTGTGTGGCAAAAGGACCCACTCCTTTTGTAGAGCTCATGCAGGATTGGGGCACTAAGCAGAAAATGACTGTAAAAGATGGCATCTTCAAATTTTGCTTTCTGTGTGTCCTGGGTTTGATGTACAGCCACTTCATAGTGTCCCTCTAGCCCAACAAAGCCAAAATAGCCAGAGGAGAGGGAATCAGGCTGTGTTTTGGCTTGTATGTCATTTATAAAAGGTTGTTATAGCCAAGTTCTGGTGTAGAACACTTTACTGATTATATCAGCCATAAAGATGATTTACGGCCTTTCAGATCCCAGATGGAGTTGGAACAGTCAGTTGCATTTTTTGTTATGGTTATATATCCCCTGTTTTCCTTCTTTGCCCTGTTTGTAGAAAGTGGGTTTTCTTATTCTGGGGTTTGTTTGTTTTTTAAGATTCCAAAAATTCCTGGTCCTTATACAACCAGAGTTAGCATGATGCAACCAGGAACAGTACTGCCTTTGTGCAGCTCACAGTACAGCACTGGGCCTTTGATCTAGGGCATCTTGGAGAAACAGACTCTAAACCCCCCATGATGCCAAATGTTACGGTCAGTTTTCAGACGAT